CGGCGGCCGAAAGATGGCCCGAGCCTGGTGGGGGGGGCCGAAAGACGGAACAATGTGGGCGCCCGCTGCCCCAACGAAAAGCCCGGTGGAACAGCTCCGTCTTACAGGCCCTGCAGAATTTGCAATAGATCCCACAGGGCCCTGGTCTCAATTGGTAGCTTGTTCCACCAGGCTGGGGTCAGGGCTGAAAAGGGCCTGGCCTTAGTTGAGGTTAGTTGGCTGTTCATCGGGCCAGGGATAACCAGAAAGTGTCGGCCCCAGAGGTCATTTCGGGGGGGATCGCAGTTCCCCTGGGTGAGGTACGGGGGTGGGGCACATGACGAAGCCCCGCCCCCTGCTTCCGGCACTCATTCAGCCAGGAGGAGGCAGGAGAAGAGGGAGGGTCCCTAGCTCTTTTTCTACGAAACGACCCCTGGTCGGTCCATTGAGCGCAAGGCTCTGTAGGGCACATATGGGGAGAGATTCTTCTGTTTATGATTCTTCTGTCACCGCTACAAATGTAGAGGCGTTTGCAGTGGCATTGGAGCATCCACACAGTAGCTTTTCCCACACCTTCCTTGTCCCAGCCCACCCTTGGCTGCCATTTTTTTTTAAAATCCTTCACTGGCACAGAAGGGGGGGGGAGAATGGCATTGACTATTTGTAATATGTTTTTAATATTGCAACTCTGCATAAACTGCAGATACATATATACTGTTACCAGTGCTCCCTCTAAGCTGTGGAGTCTTGTGAGCGAAAATTCTACTTTGCGAGTGAGCGATTCGGCCGCTGCATAAATCAGTTTGCTTTGGAGCCCTCCTTCCTGAGCGGAAACAAAAACGTGTGAGCCAGAGGCTAAAGAACTGTGAGCTAGCTCACACTAACTCAACTTAGAGGGAACACTGCCTGAGCCTATAATGTGGGAGGGGTGGGCTATAAGTCTAATGAGATAAATAAATAAATTGGGGGTCCGAGGGAAGGACAGTGGCAGTGATATGCATGGGGACCTGCAAGGATGCACACCTTCCGTACAGCCTGCAAAGGTGTTCGATCACACTGTGCTGCCGGGTTTGGGAAAGCTCGCAACAAAACAGAAGAAAACACGGACGGCGGCAGAGTGGCGGGACTGTCTTGTGTGCTTGCCCCGAGCAGCTCAGTCCAGTTTAGGCTTCTAGCTGGAGCAGAACCTCTGTGTGGAGGCAGACTCTGACCTAACTGAGGTGGTCGTCCCCTGTCCAGGTGGTATCCCTTCAGATTTTAGGTGCAGGCTTTTCAGTCCTGTACGTGTAGTTTGATGTGTGTAGCCAAACCGAGTGATAAAGCTGATGCCTAGCGCTGTACTGCTTTGGGACGGCTCAGGAAGGTTGGTATATTTGCGTGCTCCCCTCGCATGCTGAAAGCTAGCAGCTTAGCATTTACACCGGCTGGTGCCTGAATTCGTGCTTACGGCTGTCGCTTTGCCTGCGGAAGCCACTGCGCCTGCCGACTGAAACGCTGCCCAGGCAGGAAACGAAAATAGCGGCGCTGTTCAAAACCGCGGTTTGCCTGTCTGTTCAGAAACCTAGGCCGTGGTGTGGGTCCTAAACAGTAGTGAGCGCAAGACATGAACAGAGCCACACTATCTGGAAGAGACCTCTCCCCGGCATGCGGTTTTCCTCTGTGCGTGGCGCCTCTTTCATGGAGCAGTGCTAAAATTCGTGGTGCAGCGCTGACGTGTATGAGTTCTTGCCTGAAGTGGTCCGATCCCAGTAAAGTAGAATCTGTAACATATATGAATGGGGGGGGGGATGTCACATTAGTGAAAGGGGCCGACTCCACCCTCCACTAGCCCCATGTTTCTCAAATTGCAGGATGAAGTCCGGCTCCTACTTGAGCACAGGCTGGTTCACCATGGTCTTGGCGATGGAGATGTGCGAGCAGATCTTTGTCTTCGGCATGGTCAACGACAGCTATTGCAGGTATGGACATGAGGTGGTTAAATAAGTGACCTAAGCCAGGGACGGGGGAGTGGCTTCCAAACCATCACCTGGGTAGATGCAACTGCTCTGGTTGTTCCTAGGACGGGGGCAGGTCACACAGCAATTCTCGGCCTGCAGCCCTGTCACTTTTCCTGATGCCACTGGGCCAGTGTTGCATAGCGGTTGGAGTGTCACTGGGATCTGGGGTCCCAGGTTCGAAAGTCCATTCTCCAGTGGAAGTTTTCTGGGTGACCTTGGGCCAGTTGCTCTCAACTTAACCTGATTTCACAAGGTGGTTGTCCAGGGCTATTTTTGGGCAGGAACGCACAGGAACGGAGTTCCGGCTGGCTTCCAAGCCCAGCAGGAACTCATTAGCATAATAGGCCACACCCAACAGCAGAAACTCATTAGGATTGGCTACATTAGGGGTGTGTGGCCTAACATGCAAAGGAATTCCTGCTACAAAAAAGTCCTGGGTTTTGACAACAAACAAGGTAAACAGAATAACAAGCAAAAGGTGGGTGTGGCACACTTCTGGTAACATGGGGGTGTGGCCTAATGTGCTAATGAGCTTGCTGTCAGGGGTGTGGCCTAATATGCTAATGAGTTCCTGCTGTTGGGTGTGGCCTGTTATGCTAATGAGTTCCTGCTGGGCTTTTTCTACAAAAAAAGCCCTGGTTGTTGCGAGGGTAAAATGGAGGAGAGGAAAAGGATGTTGTAAAGCCAGTGCAGACTCTAATCTGGGAGAACCGGGTTTGATTCCCCACATTAGGCCGCACCCCCATGTTACCAGAAGTGTGGTTATCCAGCCACACCCACCTTTTGCTTGTTTTTCTGTTTACCTTGTTTGTTGTCCAAACCCAGGGCCTTTTTTTGTAGCAGGAACTCCTTTGCATGTTAGGCCACACACCCCAAATGTAGCCAATCCTAATGAGTTCCTGCTGTTGGGTGTGGCCTGTTATGCTAATAAGTTCCTGCTGGGCGTGGCCAACTCGGGAGCCAGCCGGAACTCCGTTCCTGTGCGTTCCTGCCCCAAAATAGCCCTGCCCTAAATCTATTTGGAGCAACTCTGGTAGCACTGGGGGAAGGTTCGGTTTGAAACATTCTAGGGAATATGTGCTTTCATTGGATCATTTCACCCCAGTTGCGCGTGGCCCATTTCCCAGTTTTTAAAAGAAGTTTAAACCCCTGCCAAAAGGGGTGTCTGATTCCGCCCTTTCTTTTTACTGTTTCTGGCAGAGACAAGACTCAGGCCCCTGTGCCTTACCACTACTTTGAGAAGGGCAAGCTGGACGAATGCCGGATGTACCTGGCCCACGAAAGAGCTCCACGCGGGGGGCACCGCTTCATCACCGAGAAGGCCGTCTTTTCTCGCTGGGCCAAGAAAAGGAACATTGTTTTCACTCACCCCTCGTGGCCAGGTGGCTAAGGGTGGGCTTCTGCCCCCCGGACTCTGTTGTGGCTTGAAACGCTGTGCCTGGTTTGCAGGTGGTGCCCTTGTGATAATTTCCTGGGGAGCCATGCCAAGTGAGTTGCCTACGTTGAAGGGCCCTCAAGAAGGGAGAGTGTGAAGAGGAAAAAGGAGCCTTTGGGGACAAAGCGGCCATCTTGGCAAGGCCTCTCCCTGGATCCACCCCCATTGACTGTTGTACTAGTACTGAATCAGGATTAATACCGTAATTCTGGGTTTTATAGAGACCTGTGCTGGCACATAGTGGGCCTCTGTGTTTTTAAACCTGTGTTCTTAGTTTTTCATTTTTTTTCTCCTATGGATTTGACCTCCCTGAATGTGAGGCAAGAGTTTATGCCTGTTCCCTTGCAGTTCTGCTTAGGAAAAATACTTTTTTTTAAAGGTCTGATAGGAAGCCTAGACTGCACAGACCTACTGCAGAATGAGTTGGTAGAGTCCGGAGGCGGTAGAGTAGACTGTACCACTTCAGGCCACACTTTCTGTCTATATACAGGAGTCTTCCCCCCCCCCATGGGTGAACATTCAGAAGTAATGACCTTCCCCTATAGTTTGAAGTGGTATAGCCCTCCATTTCAACTTACTACCACCTCCAGACCTGACCTCCACATGAGACCTTTCAACACAAAGCTTTCAGGCAGTTTGGGTGCTGAACGCCAGTGGTGGTTTTTTTCCCCCTTTGTGCTTGCTTGCGTTTCCATTTCGTGTCCTTTTCGTCTCGTTTCCCAGCGCCTTCTTAAATAGGATCAAAGGTGGTTTGAGAACTGATGAGGGAAAACACGGAAACATAACAAATGGTGTACAAGTAAGTGAGGAAGCGCAGAGGGGGGGAAAGACAGGGCATTTCTGCCCCAAACTGTGGGGAAAGCTCTCCTTGCAAAGTCCGACAGAAGTTTATCACTGCCTTGGTTTTCTTTGGGGGGTTAGGGAACATCCATTCCACGTAATGTTGTCCTCTAATGGCCTGCCTTCCAGTCTTTCCCCATCGCAACGACCAACATCTTTCCTGGTGCCCACAATGTTATTTTCGGAAGTTATTGGAGGCATGTGGAGTTCTTGCCCAGCAGGGCTTCTGACTGGCCATTGGAGATCTGGAAAGAAAAAAAAAGAATAATATAGGTTTTTTAAAACTATTCCGCAGCCTGAGGAAGGAGGCGGAAGGCCGGCCTGTGGAACGGAGCGCAGCAGAGGCTGTCTAGTCGCTCCTCGGGGCGGGAGGCAAGGCCGGCGTCGGGCAGGAGTAGGCGGCCTTAGGCTCTCTGGACCCAGCCCAGCCGGCGGGTTGCAGCCATTTTGTAGTTGCGCCCAACACCCTTTGTCAGGATTTCAAAGGTGCCCACAGACATCAAAAGGCCGAGGACCCCTGCTGTATTTCAAACTCGGTTTAGTAACAATCGTTCCAGAAAAGACATTGGCCAAGTGTGTCAGCAAGCCACCTGAATGGGAAGGTGCAAATTTTCAGAGGCCCCACCCGCATTGGCATCATTTTTCTCTCGTCATCCCCTTGCAGCTGCCAGTTGCCCCGTTGCACCTCCAGAGGGCTTTTTGAAGGCCTTTAAAATAAAAAAGTCAGAAATTACTATTGTGCTATAATGCGGTGACATTGTAACAGTCTATTACCACAGTCTTACTAGTTCCTCTGAATTCTGAGGTTTCATTTCTTTAAAAAGTTAAGTCTCTAAGCCTTTTTCAGAGTAGCTGGCAACTTTTTTAAAAACGGAAAGGTATTGCATAATAGTAACTAGGTAAAGGTAAAGTTTCCCTTGCTCGAAAGCCAGTCGAATCCGACTCTAGGGTTGCGGTGCTCATCTCCGTTTCAAAGCCGAAGAGCCAGCGCTGTCCGAAGACGTTTCCATGGTCATGTGGCCGGCATGACTAAACACCGAGGCGCACGGAACACTGTTACCTTCCCACCAAAGCGGTCCCTATTTATCTACTTGCAATTTCTTGCTTTCAAACTGCTAGGTTGGCAGGAGCTGGAACTAGAGACGGGAGCCTCCTCCGTCATGCGGCACACTCGGGTCTCGAACTGCTGAACTACCGACCTTCCACAGCCTGCAGTTCAGCGTCTTAACCACTTGAGCCACCGCAGCTCCTTAATAGTAACTACCAGTGCTTTTTTTGTAGAAAAAGCCCAGCAGGAACTCATTAGCATAATAGGCCACACCCTACAGCAGAAATCTATTAGCCTATTAGGCCACACCCCTGATAGTGCATCTCATTAGCATATTAGGCCACCCCCCCATGCCTTCCCTTGGCTTGCCCGGGCTCCCTCAGCCGCAGGGTTCCCTTGGACAGGCCAGGGAAGGCACGTGGAGGCCTTTAAATGCCTCCCTGATCCTTCCAGGGCCCACCCAGCCCGCCCGCCAGGGGGGTCGCTCTCCTGGCCTTCCCTCTGTAGCCACACATGCAGAGGTTTTGCCTGTAGTGGGTATGGCCAACTCTGAAGCCAGCCGGAACTCCGTTCCTGTGGGTTCCTGCCCAAAAATAGCCCTGGTAACTACTGATTTCTTTAAAAGCCTTTCAGGGGCGGGGGGCCTGTCTGAGGAAAGTGTGCCCAGAAAGCTCTCGTGGATGCTCTGTTGCCCATGCAAATGCCTCTCTCTCTGCAGCAGTGAGTACAGCAGAGATGGCAGGGCCTCTTCGGGTTTCTTCACGCTCATCCCCTCCTTTGCTTGCTTGCTTGCTTATTTCCTTGGGGACAGCGGGGCCTCTCTATCTAACCTTCCCTGAAACCTCCACCCTCCAAATGTCAGCTGAGATCTCAAGATGTCCGTGTTCAAGGTCTCCTGCTTTTTCCTCTTTTAAGTTGAGGTGTGGGTGCTTTTAAAAAGCCCCCTCTCCTGGCTTTCTCTCCCCATTTTCAGATTTTTATGCAAACTTGGGCATTCCCTCCCGGGGGGGGGGACCCTTTTCTGTACATGGCCCCTCTTCTGTGGATTTTTTCATCTGCATTTTTGGGCCATGTTCAGAACTAGATGCAATGATGTTTTAGTGGATTTGTTAGCTGCCTTAGGCCTGTGGGAGAAAAAGTGGATTATAAATGTGCTAAAATAAAAATAATCTCTGGAGCATGCTGAAGAACTAGAAGAGGGCAAGAAACCTCCCTTACTGGTCCGGACTTGTAGCTGCCATGCTGTGTGCTGCCTTAAAAGCCATGTTCACACATACAGGAGACCATGGTGGTAGATGGGGTTTCGACACACTGAATTTTTACTTTTCTCCCTTTCTCACAATACAAGAACTCGTGGGCACTCCATGAAATTGCTGAACGGTCGGGTTAGAACGGATAAAAGGAAGTACTTCTTCACCCAAAGAGTGATTCACACATGGAATTCACTGCCACAGGAAGTGGCGGCGGCTACAAGCACGGACGGCTTCAAAAGGGAATTAGATAAGCATATGGAGCAGAGGTCCATCAGTGGCTATTAGCCACAAGGTATAGATAGGGACTCTGGGGCAAGTGATGCTCCGTCATCTTGGTGCTTGGGGGGGGGGTCAACAGTGGGAGGGCTCCTAGTGTCCTGGCCCCACTGGTGGACCTCCTGATGGCACTGGTATTTCTGGCCACTGTGTGACACAGAGTGTTGGACTGGATGGGCCTTTGGCCTGATCCAACATTGGCATCTCTTATGTTCTTATGTTCTTAACTGCAAGTGTTGGATCCCAGTTTTGAAGTCATTTCATATGGAAAACACACACACACACAGAGAGAGAAGACTGCTGGGAGAAGGTTGTACCCCCCTCTTCATTTGCCGCATCAGCTTTCTGTTTGCATATCATTTTTAGCATGAGAGGTTCTGGGGTGGGGGGCTAATTCAGGAACCCAGCTGGCAAGACACATTGGTTTAAAAAGCTCTTTACCTCAGCCATTCCACCATACAGAACAATGCAACAAAACCAGCATAGGTAGCACATCAAAATGGCGGTCAGAGGTCATTTCGGGGGGGATTGCGGGGGATCGCAGTTCCTCCGGGTTAGGTACGGGGGGCGGGGCACATGACGAAGCCCCGCCCCCTGCTTCCGGCCGCCCCGCTTCCGGCCCTCATTCAGCCAGGAGGAGGCAGGAGAAGAGGGAGGGTAAGTTGCTTCCTCCCTGCCTCTCCCCACCCCTGCCTGCCTGGGGCCAGGGAGGGCCTTCGCGGGGCTTCCTTGCACTCCCGCCGGCCTTGCAGGTCCACCGCCGGGCCCCTCATGGGGCTCGGCAGTGGAGCTGCAAGGCCGGTGGTGGCGGCCGGGACCGTTGGGGGCGGTGTGTGTGGCCTTATGACACATTTCCGGTGATGTCAGGGGGTGTGGCCTTATGGCACACTTCCGGTGATGTCAGGGGGTGTGGCATATGCTAATGAGTTATGCTAATGAGTTCCCATAGCTCTTTTTCTACGAAACGACCCCTGATGGCGGTGAACAGGAAATGCAACAGATGGTCTCTCTTTTGTTCAGTTCAACAACTGGCTCTTGCTTGTAACACTTTGGGTGCGGTCAGACGGCGTGCTGGGAGTGGTTTAAATTGCTCTGGCCCTGATGCAGTCTTTTTTAACCTGGAGAATCGCGATCACATTCACCTCCTTGCTCCGGATCACTGCGCTGTTGTTTTTCTCTCTCTCTCTCATTTTGGGCATGCACACAGGCAGCCATCTGTGGAACTAAAAGTTTCGCGTCTGTGCAGAACAGCGATTTCCTCTTCAACCCGACTGCTGTAATGCTTCCCTTTAAACTTTAAAGGAGCACTTCCCTTTAAACGTTTACCGCCGAAAATGGCCTTTGTGAGATCCCAAACTTATTTAAAGGCTAAAACTAGGCACCATTTAAACATTGTTTTTAATAACCCTGTGGCAGACCTTCGCCTATGCGCACACCGCCAACGCTTTTTTTAAAATGGTGGGCAAAAAGCGGAAGCCTCGGGCAGCTTTCAAGCAGGGAGGGGGTTTAAACCGGAAGTGGCTTGACACCGGAGGCGCGATCACATGGGGAAAATGCAGCTGGAACTGGAGAATTAGGAAAATATTACTTGGGGACCTGGTATCAAAATACTCCGGGTTAAAACTGTTTTGAGCCGGAAAGCGACGGCTGGGGACGGGAGGCAGATGTTGACCGTGTGATTGCGCAGATAAAATCCATTTCTGAGGTGGGCCGGAAGCAGACTAAATGGCCCATCTGAATGCACCCTTTGTGATGAATTAAGGCCCATTTCTCAAGCCCACTAAGGTGCAGGGTTCTTCTCATCCACTTCTCTTTCAAATGGATTCCGTTCCAGCAAACTAGACAACATAGTATGTCCAAACTGCATTCTGCAGCTGGGAACCTGTAGCTGTTAAGGTGATAAGAGCCCAGAAATGGTTATCAAACTCCAGCAACCCGCTGCTTCCTCTCCTGCTTGCTTTGTACATTGTATATTGCTTGTACATTGATTCTGCTCCTACAGGGCTAAACCAGCTAGTACCGGGGGGGTGAGCCACAGAAGCATTAGAAAAACCTGATCTTCTGCTGGCAGTCCTCAGCATCCAACACCCCATTCTCATGCATGTGTGAACCCAGACTTAATTAGAGTCGGCTTGAATGGCTCATCTTAGTCCAGTCTTATCAAACCGGTCATTCTCCACGGTCTTGAGCAGAGAGGTTTCCTTGCTCTGTGACATGCCAGGGCTGGATCCTGTGCCTTTATCCATGATACCACCAAACTATGAACCCTTCTACTATTTCCCCCTTCCTCATCTTCATACCCTTTCAATGTAAAAAAAAACGACAAAAATTACCAAGTTCTTGAAAGCGCATGATGCTTCAGTGCTATTAGCACATGTAAAAGCGGTTTCCTTCTGTGTTGCCTTGTGAACGTGGCCTCAGATATCTAGACCTGGCTAAAGCTCTTGCTTGCCAAGAGGACAGAGGCTCTGATTCCTCCTGGCAGGTGGAGGGGTTGTGGTTTTCTTGTTTATGCCGAAGGATGCAAGGAGTCTTGACTGGCGACAATAGGTAAGAGGAAGTATTGAATAAACCGGGGTTTGAAAGTGAAGAGCGACAACAGCCCAAATCTGGAAATGGAGAAAAAAGGAAGGTAA